GGCCATCATTTCGGTGCCCTTTATGAATAGCACAGAACACAGAGGAAATACTCTTCTAGTATTCAAAAACTACGGTCCTACTCATCAATCACTCATGTCACTGGTGACTGAGTAAAATACTATCATAAATTCTCATTGTTTCATTTTCCTCTTACTTGTTAATGGGAACAAAAGCATCAGCCAACATTCTTGTCAGAACTACACTCTGAATCAAATGACCCATAGTTTGCTTACTGGCATGAGAATTTGGCAAACCCAAAGAAATATTCTGAGAAAATCTATCTATTGCTAATTGTTGTTGTTGTTGTTATATATCACTGAGTCAAACCCAACCCATAGATGACCCTCCAGCAGGTTTTCAGAGGCAGTTAATCTCATGGGAAGAGATTATCCATCTTTTTCCTGTGGATCAGCGTGTGGCTTCAAACTGCATACCTTTGAGTTGCCAGCACAACGCCTTACCACTAGTTCACCAGAGCTCCGTCCCATGCTCTTTACTGCCTGAGAAAACCACTGAAGGGTCAGCTATGACGTGGGTCTGATGTGTGGTGCATAACAACAAAAACAACAATGCTGCTTACAAAGAGCCTTGGGACCTGGACAGAGGGTCGTCATGAGTCGGCATCAACTTGGAGGCAGTGGGTAGGCTGGCTGACAATGCTGCTTTTAAAAGCCCCCTCAGAGGTTGGGGTTCTTGTGTACAGTAATATTCAGTTCTTACAACTTGTTCTTTCCACTTAAAATACCTGTCAGATCCAAGAACTACCTTCCACTTCTGAATTCTCAAGTTAGATCAAGTTAGGGCAGGAGGGCTGGTGGAGGGCAGGGAAGAACACACCCATTCTCAGAGTCGATACTCTCAAATACAAAAGAAACACAAAACCACAACCAAAAAAGACACTTTCTACAGGGTCTTTATTTGTGTTGGGAGCAAGTACCAGGGTGAGGTTACTGGGTGGTACTGAGTCCCATTTCCTGGTGATGTGTCCTGGGAAGGCACTTCTGAAGCATAGCTAGAGCTACCTGAACTGAGTGGACAGGCAGCCTGTGTCCCATCTCTGTAAACACGGGGCAGCATTGTCTAGCCTAGCCATCTTCTCCTATCACATCAGCACGTCTTTCTGTGGCACAAATTACAGCATAATCAGAGGCAATCTCAGCTCTGCAGAAGCAGAGAGCTAACTCCTTGGAAATGAATGAGTGTTGGTAAAAGGTACAGTTTCTTTCTATCTCAGATGACCTTGTTGAGTCCCAGTGTGGCAATTTCCTAGTGGACAATGGGACCCTGGAAAATACACCTTTGATGCTTGTCAGTCTATTCCATGACATACAGTAAGCTGTCAATAAATGTTTGTCATTGAATTTGTATTGAAATTTGTGTGTAACCTCTTTCCTATTTTCCAGGTGACACATAAAGGGCCTTAAACATCCATCAATCTGGTCCTCACTCAGGCACTCACTCACCCATTCACTCACTCAATACCAAGTGACTTCTCTTGTTTTAGACAAAGTACGAGACACAGGCAGCAGAGAGAGCGTTATAGAAATCAAGACTCTCTGCAGAAGTTTCAGCAATGAATAACAGAAGCATAAAGGCAGATAAGATCTTAGTTGTGCTTTTAGGAGGCAACAGGAATGGAAAAGGTTTCTCAGAGGAAATGTCATTATGTCAGCACTTCAGCTGGACTTCAAAAGACAAGCAGAAGGCCTTGGGCAGAGAAAAGGAAGAGCAACAGCATCATGGTCTGAGAACAGCAGGAAGTGAGGAGAAAGGAGACAGAATGAACATCAGTCATTCATTTCCTGGGGTTAATGTTCTGGCCACAAGAACCACAGAAATGGGCTCCTGTCTGTCTGAAATGATGAGGACGGCATAGGATAGGACAGAGTTCAGATTGGTTGTTTACTGGGTCTCAACTCAATGGTATCTAACAACAACAATGTTCTAGAGTGAAGAGGGTGAATCAGGTTATAAACAAGCCTAGAACTGTTCCAGAAAGGTCTGAATGCCATGCTTGGAAGACATTCATTTATACTACAGGCAACAAGGATCCATGACAGATCTTTAGACAAGAGCACACCATGATCTGTTTTGCTAAGACTACTTATTTTACGTCCATTTGTCCATTCCCCTGCTCTCTGACATAAGTCTGGGCTCCTCTCCTGGGCACAAACATACCCTCACCATCCTGTCCTCACAACATCTAGACCAGGAGGAGCTCAGCAAGTAGACTCCTGAGAGAGATCATTCTGGTGCAAAAGCCAGGCTGAACTGATCATCCCTTCACTATCTGCTTCCACAGGCTGGAAGGCGAACATGGCAAACAGTTCATGGGCTCGCAGACAACATGGTGACTTTGTTCAAAGCAGTGATGCTAGACTGACTTCCTTGGGGAAGAGTAACAGAATTACAGACAGGACAGGAAAGCAGAGGCCCCTCTTGGGGAATAAAAAGCAGGAAGGAAACTCTGAATTTTATAAGGTGGGAAACAACATCGACCCAGAAGTCTTCTCAAAACTTCTGGCTAAAATGTCCTCATCACTGGCCCCCAGTTGGTGGAAAATTCCAGCCAAGGGTCACGCATCCCCACACTCCAGCTTCAGGAATTATCTGTGCTAATCGTGTGGTATTCCTTCTGAGTTCCAGTTACTCATCACTTCCTGTTGGTGCCCAGTTAAGGCCTGTGTTAAGGGAGCCACAGGAGTGGGAGGGAACCAGAAGGCTCAGTGCCCCTCACCCTCTAGACTTCTAGGGGAAATCAGACTGTCTCCAGGTGATGGGAAATGCCCATGCTCAGACAAGAGCCAGACGTGAGCCCCACCAGCTCCACTTAGCAGGCTCAGCACTCCACGAGCATTTGTTTTCCTAGTCTATCAGGACCCAAAACACTGTAACAAGAGCTGTGTTTTCTTTTCCTCTATTCTGGGAAGAGAAATAACAATAACAATGACACTGGGCACCAATTCAGTATTCAGCATTAATGTTGTTCTCTAATCCTTAAAAACTACCTTGTCAGGTATGTATGACTATTGCATTAAAGCTGAAAGACTGAGATTCATTCTTAACCTATCAAGTCCTATAAGAAAATGTGAATTAAATCCAAATTTCACCGACTTCAAGTAAGGGCTCACCCAATGCAATGACCTGCCATAGAAACAAACAAAACAGTGTCATCTTGCCACAACCTTCCTGATCCCTCTACAACCCTGCCCCGCTACTTCCACCAGGCCTGTTCAAGAAAAGGCCAAGAACCCACTGGAAGCTGGTCTCCTGCAGTCAGCCAAGACACACGGAAACATGTTCACTGTCCTTTGGACTACAGGAAGCAGACACAGACGCAACCCAGTCAGACCATTTATTGTTTGGCATGTTATCACCCCAAAGTTCAAAGGTCTCTCAGGCCACACCATCCTCAGGTGATCCCAACTTTTACCTGGTGACACCTGAAGATAGTAAGAAGTATGCTGTTGGAAGAATTAAAAGCATCAACAGCCATTAGAAAGAGTGAGGTCCACTTGGAGGGGACTCACAGCAGGTTATTTATGAGGTATAATAAGAACTGGGGTTGGAACTTGTGCAGAAATTGAGTCCACACACAGGCACAGCTAACATGAGACCATGGGTAAAACATACCCTCTCTGGGCTAGACCTTCGTGACAGAAACTAGGGTGCCACCCTGCTTCCCATCTCCCACACCTAATCCCCATATCAACCTCTGGGACAGCTCTTGGACCTGTCCCCTCCTGCAGTTAGTCTGGCACTTGGCAAATCTCACCTGGATTACTGCTCAAGCTTCCGCATGGTCCCCCAGACTCAAACTCATCAGCATTCTGTTTATCCTTCAAGTCAGGGGGATCATTCTGAAACACACATGTTCACCTCACCTCCTTGCTTATCGGGCCCAGACATCTCTCAGGATGAAGTCCAACCTCATTCCTCTGCCTTGTATCTGCCTCCTGCCCTCCTCCTTCCTGTCTCTCCAGATATGCAGCACCAGAATCTTCTGCCTGCATATCCCTGAATGCACTGCATTATTTCATGGCCCCATAAATGACTGATCCCTCTCCTCCTTAAAAGGCCCTTCATTTTCTAGCTTCTGCTGGTCCTTAAGAATTTAACCCAAACATCACACCTCCTCCAGGAAGTCCTCTCTGGTGCACTAGTCTCGTGTACATGTCCTTCTAAGATTTCCCAGCCTCCTATGCTTCTCTCTATCACAATTCCAGCTGTTGATTTTCCCTTGCTGCCTCCTGTACGAAAGTCCCTGGGATAGAGGAACTAAGTCCCAGGTGGGGCCTCATTTGATTTTGTATTTGCAGGAGCCACATAGGTATGTACCTTAGCACAATGTTTGAAACACAACAGAAATATATGGAGAATTAATAGATCTCTCCAGTGACAGGTTCTCTGATATCTGGGTAAGAGGACTAACAGGTTTTGGGTGTCACTTCAGTCTGTGCAATTGAGCTCAGTTATTAAGGAAATGGAGCTCTCTGTGGTCAAAGTGAACTTTCCTGACCTGGAGTACCAGATAATACTATTTTACGAACAGCCCCTAGGAAGCAAACACATATCACAAGACAAAATTTCTCAGTAAGCCAGCTCCTGAGTGGGCAGACCTAGGGCTGTCTGAAGAGGAGCAAGCTTACTGAGAAGATTTGTCTTGTGAAATATGCTTGGTTTTAAGTTTCCTATAATTGCTCTTCTTATTTAAAAATTACACTCCACTTGCTCCTTCAAAGAGTTAAGGTACCTGTGCTCTGATTATTAAAACTCTTGCAGCTATGTGCAGAACATCTGATATGTGACATGAAACTGATGAGGTAGACACTTTCTGTGGCTTCATTAGTCCACAGAGCTCAGAGTCTTCAACTGTGAGATAAGTGAAGAAATCAGGTAGCCTCAGAGGCCCTCATGGCAACAGCATCGTGAGATTCGGGATCTCTTCTTCCTCCACTCTGATTCTTTCCCTAACCCCATTCTTAGCCCCATCACTGACCTTGAGATCAAAGTGAGCGATCTTCTTGGTGTGAAGGTAATTCACTCCATCCAGGATCTGCTTAATGAAGCTGGTGGCCTCCTCCTCGCTCAGTGACTCCTTCTGGGCCAGGAAGTCGAAGAGCTCTCCTCCAGGCACTCTGCAAGACACCAGGAGGGAGGGCCCAGGTCCAGTCAGTCAGTCTCATGTGCATGAGGCCAGGCTGGCTGCACAGCCACTGAACCTGACTCCTCAGCCAGTCTACAACAGAATCCCTGTCAGAGAGCCATTGTGTATGCAACGATGTAAAGTATGTTCAGATTTGTTGTTCACAAGATCACTATGAGTTGTAGTTAACTTGACAGTGTCTGACAACAGCCTACTAAATGGTGTTAAGACCCATCCACCTTTGATACATCTATTATAGTCCATCCACTGCCCATCACAGGTGAGTTGATTCTAACTCAGAGTCCTCCATCAAGTCGCCAAGACTATAAATATCTAAATGGGAGAAGACTGCCTTTCTCCATCAGAGCAACTGGTGGCTTTGAATCACCAACCTTTTCGTTGGCAGCCCATTAAGTCACATACAACACCAGAGCTCCTTTCTTCTACAGCAACGCTTGATGACTAAGACATCCCTCAGCAGCACCAGGGATTGATTTGTTTCTATTTGCTGTGTTCTTAACTTAGGATCATGGGATAGGGGTCATCCTTAGGATGCCATCAAAAGGACTTCTGGTCGCCTCCTACACCCAGCCCTTGGTTATCCTTATATAATCCAATATGACTGAGGAGGCAGAAGGCAGAAATGAGTGTTGTAAGAAAATGACAAGGAACAAATGCTGGGCCAGGAGATGAGAGATGTAGATTCCAGTCCAGCCCTGGCCAGTGACCTTGCACAGCTTCCTCTCTCCAAGTGTTGGTTTCCTCATTCACAAAATGAGAAGACTGAGCAAGACTGTACCTAAAGCCACTTTCATCTGATTTTATAAAAGACTATATACTGGTCCACAAGAGCACAGGCATAGTTTCTAATTTAAACATTTAAAAAATCGTTAATTATTCAAATTTCTAAAGATTCTGGAGTATCACTTCTGTCCTCACATTCCATGTATTTGTATCCTGCGGTTGATGTGATAGGACTGAAGACTTACAAGATAAAACTTCACATGGGATACAATGTAAAATAGATTTTATTTGCCTAATCTTCCAATCCTATTGGACTTGTTTATCTATCCTCCAGCAGATTCTGGGACACCCAGCCAGCACTGTAGGGGGTGGAGAGAGTTAAGGATCATCTTAGACTACAATAATGGAATTATGACAGGGGATCCAGGGCTTCAGGACCATCTAAAGAACCAGTTAAATATGCAGATCCTTGAGTCCCACTGCAGGTCTCACAATTTAAGTCTCCTTAGACCCTGTATTTTATAATGAGCGGTACATAAAAAACAACTATAGTAAATATTAATTATTCACAGGCTAGAACTGAGGTATATGCTTTATAATATTATCTTATTTCCTCGGTCACAATATCCTGTGTGGATTTATTTTTTCTATTTTACAGTTGAATTAAAACAAAAAAAAAATACTCAGAGAAGTTAAATGTCTTGTCCAAGTCAGTATCAGTTAAGAGTCACACTAAGCATAATGACTTTCAAACACTACATAACACTACGTGTCCCAAATGATTCCTATGTGGCTAGAAAGGCTCCCATCTCAGCTTTGAGAATCCTCTTCTGAATCCTGAATCTGAGTTTGTACCTCATTGTTGTTACATACTATCAAGTTGAAATCAACTCATAGCTGATTTCAGCAGGTTTTCAGAGGCAGTAGATCACACTGGAGGAGACTGACCATATTTCTCCCATGGAGCTGCTGGTAGATTCCAACCAGATACCTTTAGGTTGGCAATGCAGTTCCTTACCACTAAGCCACCAGAATTCCCTCCCTCCCTGCTACCTATTCTATTCTAAATAAAAAGTATCATTTTTTCCCCTCCAGTGGTATTAAGGGTTTATTGTTCAAAACGGCTTTGACTTTGCCATATGGATGGGTGGGAACATATGAATAGAGCCTGTTAGTCTATAAGGAGTCTGGTTAGTCTCACCACTAAATTGAACAGATTTTGGGGATCTTACCACTAACAAAGAAGAAAAAGATCAGGCAGAGTTTGCATCCTTCAGGGCCAAAGATTCCCATGCCGCTCAGACCAGAGGCTACAGGAGTAGCAGCAGTGGCCACAGCAGAGAAGCAGAGACTCAGCATGACACAGAGCTGATCTATGGGTTGCTCCCTCAAGGAACCAGAGCTAAGAGCCTTCGACCAAGTTTTTTGGAAGACGGAAGGAAAGAGGAGTGGGCCATAACTGGCAAGACTAAGAGTTTTGTAACACCGGCCTAAAGTTGCGAAGCTGAAGGCTCAGGTGTTGGGATGAGTAGAAAGGGATGTAAGAACACTGGGGACATGCCTGACCTCATAGGAATTGGGGTTTTTTGTTGCTTCTTTTTAATAAAAAGTTTTCATTTTATACTAGTTTACTTATAAAGTCTGTATGCATTGCTTTTCACACCAAGGAAATGGTTTTGTGCTATGGATGTTGTAGACAGAGATAGTTCCCCATTGTCAGATATGACCCTCCCTATGTGACCTTTTGCTCCTTTTACACCTTCTTTAATTGAAAATATACAGAGGCACACTTGAGTCCACTGATTAATCTTAGCATAATGGCAAGCAGAACAGACACAATGTAGAAGCACACAGCAACATCTATGAAGTTATTATGACCTAAAAAAAAATTTATTCTAAATGTGATTAAGCCTCTATTAAGATAGTTCAGCACTATCTAACAAAATTTTCTGCAGTGATGGAAATATTCTATATCTACACTGCCCAAGACAGTATCCATGTGTCACTTAACACAGCCTGTGTGATTAACTGACTTAAAAAATTTAACTAATTTAAATTTAAAAACTGAAGTAGTATAAAGTATTGCCCATGAAAAACAATTTGACTATTCTATAGTTTTGAATTTCACTTTAGCCATTGCACTGCACAAGTCAGGATGTGCTATAAGCATAAAATACACAGTAGATTTTAAAGATTTTTGTATGAAAAGAAGAGAGAATGGAAAACATTTACATTAATTACATGTTGAAATAACATTTTGTATATATTAAATGAAAATACTATTACATTTAATTCACATTATTAAAAGAACTTCTTATTCAATATTGTTGTGGTTAGGTGTCGTTGAGTCCAGTATGATTCATAGCAACCCTCTGAACCCTGTCCTATTATTATTCATATTCAATATGGCTACTAGGAAATTTTAAATTATGTATATGGCTCATATTGTATTTCCAATGGACAGCAATATTGTAAAAGTTATCTCCTCTCTGAGGTGTCAGAACCCATGAAAATAAGCTCTTCTGGCCATTGTGTTAGCCCCCCGCTGGGGGCAAATCTCCAGCTACCTTAACTGCAGACACATGGTCTTGCAAATCAACAACAGCTGTAGGATCCATATACTATAAATCAATATAAACACTGTGTGAAGTGGTGGTGAAGAAACTCTTAAAATTGGCAATGATAGTGGAGAAGAGACTCTAGAGAGACTAAGGAGAGACTCTGGCAAAGTGTAACCAGAGGAACCCTGGAAATAAAGGCCACAGTTAAAGGGTTTGCTTGCTGGATAACTAAAAGAAAAGCTGACTTGCAACTGTGCAGAGATAAAGTTTGCTGGATTTTAGGGAACCAGAGTCTTCTTGCATTTGGGCTACTGGAACGAACCTGGACTCTGACTAATTGTGAAGTTCCATCTTGCTGTTAATCTGACGTGAGACTGTTAGATTTTTTTTTTTTTTGAGACTGTTAGATTAAACCTGGATTTGTATTAATGATATTTTTTGTCTCTCCAACTCCCCAAACTATTTCCCTAATAAACTCCACAACTGGGAGTAAAGTCTGTGAGTCTTGCAATGAACACTGGATCCAATGATTGGTAAAAATAGGTGCAGGAGCATGAGGGGTGGCATGTCTGACTATGTAGCTGTTTGTATAGTACTATGGACATCAACAGAAAACTACCAGAAATAAAAGCTGGGTTTAGAAGAAGCTATGGCACTAGGGACATCATATCTAATATCAGATGGATCTTGGTTGACAGCAGAGAATACCAGAAGAATGTCTATCTGTGTTTCATTGACTACACAAAGGCAGCTGACTGTGTGGATCACAACAAACTGTAGCTAACATTGAGAAGAATAAGAATTCCAGAACACCTGATTGTGCTCATGTGAAACCTATACTTGGACCAGGAGGGAGTAATCAGAACAGAACAAGGAAACACTGCATGGTTTCAAATCGGGAAAGAAGTATGTCAGGGATGCATCTTGTCTCCATACCTTTTCAATTTTTATGCAGAACAGATCATTCAGGAAGCTGAGATTTATGAGGAGAAGTGTAGCATCAGAATTAGAGGAAGAGTCAACAACATACGTTATGCAGATGACACAATGTTGCTTGTTGAAAATGAGGTGGACTTGAAGCATTTGCTGCAGAAGGTCAAGGACTGCAGTCTTCAAAATGAATTGAAGCTCAACATCAAGAAGATATAGATTCTTACCACTGGGCAAGTTGGTAACATCATGATAAATGGAGAGGAGACTGAGATTGTTAACAATTTCACCTTGCTTGGTTCCACAATCAACACTCTTGGCACTAGCAGTGAGGAAATCAAAAGACAAATTGCACTGGAAAAATTTGTTGTCAGGGACCTCTCCAGAATGCCAAAGAGCGACCATGTCAATCTGAAGATTAAGGCGCACATGATCCAGCCCATGGTCTTTATAACTACTTGCTGTGCATCAGGGAGCTGGACAGTAACGAAGAATGATAGAAGGAGGATCAATGCCTTTGAGGTTGTGGTGCTGGAGATGAGTGTTCAACATTTCTTGGACTTCAAAGAGAATACTCAGATTTGTCCTGGAGAGGGCGAAACCAAGTTGCCCCTTAGAGGTGAGGATTTTGAAGCTCTGTCTCACATTTTGGGCATGTTGCCAGGAGGGATCTGTCTTTGGAAAAGGACATTATACTTGAAAACGTGGAGGGACAATGCAAGAGAAGAAGACCTGGATGAAATGGATTGACAATGTA